GAGTTGTTTTCATGGCTCCACAACAAAGTCTTAAAGCTTGATATTGTACTTTATCTATTTGTTTTAATAATGTGTTTGAAGCTGAGTTATATAAAATGCATTCATAATCAAAAACTGATCTTATTAATCCAACATAGATTGTCTTTAACTCTTTCCTATCTGCACCCCATTCTCTACCTCTCAGACATCTCATTATATTTAGAATTATTTTACACTTTCCTACTATTTTATCTATATGCATTTTCCACGCAAGTTTTTTTTTTTTTATCAAACCAGATACTCAGATATTTGATTTGATCTACTCTTTCTATATCGTCCCCATATAATTTGAGATTCATATTAATATTTATTTTTTTATTTGTAAAAATAACCGATTTTGATTTGGATGTTGAAAATCTGAATCCTCATTCTAATGCCCAATTTTCTACACGATTTAATGCCTCTTGTATTTTCCTTTTAACAAATTCTATATTTTTTCCCCTTTTCCAAATAACTCCATCATCTGCAAATAATGAGACGCCAAAAGATTTATCTATATTACTAAAAATATCGTTAATCATTATTGTAAATTATATAGGACTAATTATACTGCCTTGGGGAGCACCATTTTCTACTTGATAATCTGAACTTATTTCTCCATTTATTTTAACACTAATACTTCTTTCAGTTAAGAAGTTTATTTTCCATTTATAGATCTTACCTTTTATACACATCTGTTTTATTTTAAATCAATAAACTTTCTCTCCATAACATATCATATGCCCCCCCCCCCCCCCAAAAAAAAAAAAAAAAAAACTGCCATCACACTTTCCTTATTAGCCTGGGCCCGTCTAATTTCATGTTCCAAACATACTGCTGGATCTATTGTACTTCTACTTTTTCTAAAGCCAAATTGATACGATTTTATCTTCTCCTCAGATTCTAAAAAATACATTATTCTATTGTTTACCGTTTTTTTTCCCATAATTTTACCTCAACATGATGTAAGAGCAATTGGTCTATAACTTGCTGCTAAATGAGGATCCTTCCCAGGTTTACAAATGGGGACAATAATTGCTTCTGTCCATTTGTTTGGTATCCTCCCTTCCTCCCACACCTTATTATAGAATTTTAATAATATTTCTTTGCTCGCATCACTAAGATTATTCAACATGCAATAATTGATTTGATCTTTACCAGGAGTTGACTTCCTGAAACTTTTTAATGCTTCGTTTAATTCCATCAAAGAAAACTTCATATTAATAGTATCCTCCTTATCTTCCTCATTCTGAAGTAGTTCGGTGTTCATCCTTAATGTTATTTCTCATCCTCTTTTTTCTTTAATATTCAGATTTTCTGTACTATGTATTTTTGCAAATGCTTTAGCTAATAATTCAGCTTTATTTTTATTATCAGTTACAATATTTCCGTTATCTTTTATTATTGGGAAATAATAATCTCTTGAATTCCCAGACATCTTTTTAATAGTATTCCAAACCCTGGATATTGGAGTATTTTTCCCCAGTGAGTCACAATATTTTCTCCAATAATCCCTCTTAGCATATCTGATAATTTTCCTAACTTCTGCTTGTTTCCTTTTATAATTGATCAGATTCTGGAAGCTAATAGTCCTTTTCAAAGTTTTAAAAGCCTCATTACGCTGTTTAATTGCTGCTGTGCATTCTGGTGTCCACCATGGTACTAACT